ATCCTCAATTTAACCACATCTGCAAAGACACTTTTTCCACAAGGTCGCATTTCCAAATTCCAGGGATTATGATATCTTGGTATCTTCAGGTGGCCATAATTGAGCCTCCCACAATGAGCAACCTAGAATTTGAACTAAAGCTTCCATTTACCAACACTCCTGGGCTTTCATAACACAAGGGGGGCAAAAACCTCTCAGTGCATTTACCTGTTTAGTCAACAAATTGATGCAAAACAGAGGCCAGATATTGGACTAGACACTGGATATAATAAAATATTCAGGACCTGGACCTTGGACTCAAGAAACCACAGCTGGGGGACCAGTACTTAACTAAAAATGAGTATTTCAAGTCACCATGACATCTGGGCCAGCACAGCTGTCATTATTTTTAAATCCTAAAGTTGTCAATTTACAAATAGCTTTTTCAATTTTAATAAAGTTATACACTAAAATCCCTCTGGCCAGTCAAGCTAGGTGATCATACCCCAAAAGAGCCTGACCAGACTGATGGCACGTCCTCCAGCACTTCCTCATTGTTCATTCAGCGTGTGCGGTTGTGCTTTTGTGGGCCACCGTGTGGCTTCTGTCATGTAATTTTTTCAAGGAACAGTAGTTGATTTGGGAGGATGATGTGTGACTTGTGGGAAGGTAAAGGAAGGGGAAATGAGGGCATTCACCATTTTACACTGAGAAAAGATGTATGATTATATCTATTTTTGAAGTAAATACCGTGGAGCTGTGTGTCGGCGTTAGGGAAAATAGCACAGGAACATCTGCATGGGTCTTAAACATTGGTCCTATGCTACTAGCTCGGTCAGAACCGCAGACAAGTTCTTCAATTGCTCAGTCCTTTTGGCAAGAATTATCACAATACATATGGTGAGCTATAAAAATATTTCTACCCTTAGACCCAGGAATCCCTCTCTTAGTTCTTTCCAAGGAAGTAATTAAACAGAAGGGAAAAATGTCATATACATGAAGATATTCACTCCAATAGCATCTATTACAGAAAAGTAGAAATTGAAATAACTCTATAAGGGCATGATTCCATAAAGTATGGTATATTAATCTGATAGAAAATGATGAAGCTATTTAACACTGTTCATATGAACAGCATATGGAAATACGAAAACTGATACAGTCAAAAAGATTATAAAAGAGAATTACAATTAAAATGAATTCAAATTATGAAAAACATTGATACAGGTTAACAAATTATGGAAGATACTAAAAAATTCAAAATATTTGTGGCAAGCTGAGAAGGTTATGGGTGATGGTTTTCCCTTTTCCCTGAGCTATGCACTGCCAATACTGCAAAAAAGAAAAAAAAAAGAAAGAAAGAAAGAAAGAAGAGTTAGTCATAGGGCAAAGGATTGAGACCATTTAAGATTTTCTCTGTCACAGTAAAATGCTAAGAGTTAAGATAATAAAAAATCATAAAGAAAATGTCAAGTTAAAGAGGATTGTGAGATTATGAGAGAAGAGGCAGCTCAGAACAGTGGGAAGGCCTAGGACTAGAGCCAGACAAGCCTGGGCACCTTTTGGTAGCAAATTGCTTGATCCCTCAGTTCTCATCTGGGAAATCAGGAAAAGAAAGCCAACGTTTCAGATTTGTTATAAACTCCTGAAAAAACATACATGTTATGTTACTTTATATATGTTAAATGCATGTTACATTGTTGATGTCTAATGAATTTAAGCCTCTATTTCTGAAGAGTATATGTAAAAAGAAATAGGAAAAGCATGAGTGTTAATGGGGGTGGGATGGAAAGGAAGCAAAGTACATTACAAGATACTACAATTATACAAAATTAATGCATCTAGGAACCAAAATGTTCACGGAAAGAAAGAGGTACAAAATAGAAGAGAAGGAAAACTCCTGTAATGTTAAATTTAAATAGGAAATATCATTATGAACTGTTTAAAAGTATATTTCCCAGCTCTTTCCACTGAAAAGTTACCCTGGTAACAATAAGCCAGTGCCTAGCTCCTTGTTTCCAAGCACCAGTCCCAAACCAAAGGAACCAGGACTTCTTTGAGAAAAGAGTAATTTCCTGGTCAGAAGCAGGACAAATCCAAAGCGAGCCTGGAACATCTTATTTACCAAAAGCAAAGAGTACTCAAAGGCTGAGGGTACAAGCCAGCTTAAAGGGACTCCCACTGACCTCACTGGGACAATCTGAACAACTCAGAGAACACGGTAATAGATTATAATGCACTGAATTTAAAATAAAGAATTCCATGAGTTTATACTGATATAAAAAATTAAGAGAGAAAGAAAAGGGAGTGGAGGGAAGAAAGCTTTTCTTTACCAAAGAATGGTAGACAATAAATAGAGGACAAATAAAGAGTTAGAAAAATCACTACTTTTCAAACATCAATGTAATAACGGATTCATTAAAGGATCACCATGGATGCCAAAACGACTGGGTCAAAGGCTGCTTGGGAAACAGGATACCCATGGTGTCATCAATGCCGGGACGAGGTACCTCCTGAGGAGAAACAATAGGTAGTAGAATCTCTCCTAACCTGCACCCCAAAATCTATCCTGAATCCAAGTCATGAGGAAACAATCAGACAAGTCCAGAATGCAGGACCTTCAACGAAATAACTGGGCCTGGGTTTTAAGTCAATTTCATGAAAGAACAATAAAAGGCAAGGTTCTGTTCTAGATTAAAAGATATACAACAACTAAATGTAACACAAGAACTTTGATTAGATCCTGGATTTAAAAAACAAAAGGCAATGAGCCATTTGAGGTGGGGAGTGAGGGGAGAGATCTGGTACATTTTTAAATAGACTGGATCTTATATATTTCACACCATCGTTAATCCTCCTAAGTATGATAATGGTAAGAAGAATGTTCTTATTCTTAGAAACATTGAAGTATCTTGATGCCTGCAATTTATAGTTAAATGGTCCAGCCAAAAGAGGAAATGTGTGTGCATGTGTAGAAAGTGTATGTGTAAAAAAAAAAAAAAAAAGAAAAAGAAAAAAGGCACACAGGTGTTAAAAATGTTAACAGTCGGGCTTCCCTGGTGGAGCAGTGGTTGAGAGTCCACCTGCCGATGCAGGGGACGCGGGTTCGTGCCCCGGTCCGGGAGGATCCCACATGCCATGGAGTGGCTGGGCCCGTGAGCCATGGCTGCTGAGCCTGCACGTCCAGAGCCTGTGCTCCGCAACGGGAGAGGCCACAACAGTGAGAGGTCCGTGTACCGCAAAAAAAAAAAAAAAAAAAAAAAAAAAAAAAAGTTAACAGTCAATCTACATGAAAAGTATCTATTGGGCATTCACTGAATTCTTTCAATTTCCTGTAGCTTAAAAAATTTAACTATCAAATAAGAAAACAATGATCTTAAACATTGAGTCTGATCATTCATATTGCACATGAGCTTGGTCACACTTCTTCTGAATCTTGTAAGCACAGAGTATGTGGAAGCAACCAAACTTTCGTCAAAAAAAAAAAAATGTTTGCTAGAATAAATCTATGTTCTGTCTAGCTTTAGCCTGAATGGACTACTGTGAAATATACAATATACCTCTGCCTCACCGTGCACCTCCCCAGAGAGGTCCTGTAAGGGAAGGAAGACCTGCTCATACATGCCATTTTCCTATCAAGCAAAGAATCCCACCTTGGGGAGGCAGAAAACAGGAGTAGCCCAAGTAACTGCTACTGGAGCAAACAGAGACAATATAATCCAGCAATCTGCCAGCATATTACGAGATGTATAACTGCCAATTTCCTCCGCACGCTCCTCCCATCTGCAAGACTTTCACTTTAGAGGAGGTTACTTCCATGCATGATGGAACAACAGGTGCATAAGCAAGAAAACGAAGGTGCTGGTAAAACAGAGCATTCGCACTGCAGCACTGGAGTTTACTTTGTTTGCATCTCAAACCCATGCATGTGGGAAAATCAGACACAGGACCGACAGAGAATGTTCAGAGCTAAAGAACACCACCCCAGAATGGCAGGTGGCTTAATCTATCAAAGGGGGTGCTGGCACGTGGCAAGGCCAGATGGCTGGATCTACTACAGTTTATATACAGAAGGCTACTTCTTATATTTCATACTTGGTTATTAGGGGACACTGGCGGTCGTATTACCAATATTTCAGAGCCCAAAATTCTGCACTTAATGGTAAAAGCCAACTGCATTCTTTTTGTTTGTTTGTTTGGTTGGGTTTTTTTTGTTTTGCAGTACGCAGGGCTCTCACTGTTGTGGCCTCTCCTGTCGTGGAGCACAGGATCCGGACGCGCAGGCCCAGCGGCCATGGCTCACGGGCCCAGCTGCTCCGCGGCATGTGGGATCTTCCCAGACCAGGGCAAGAACCCGTGTCCCCTGCATCGGCAGGCGGACTCTCAACCACTGCGCCACCAGGGAAGCCCCAACTGCATTCTTATACAACTTAGGAATGACTCATTTTTAAAAATGTAAACAGAAAAGACTGGTAAGGGAAAAAAATCCAAAGGCATTTTGCAAAGTGTCCTATTTAATTTTAGATGGTCCAGTGTCTCTCTTCCAGCTTGGGCAGAATGCCCTTCTTGGGGATTTGGAATCATTATTCTGTCTGTTAGATTTAGAGCATTTAATCATATGTGACATTTAAAAGTTACTTGAGCAGAGAGAAAGACTGTAGAAAAGTTATGTTCACAGAGCTATGTTTTAAATTTACTCACAATTTTCACAGTGGCCTTCAAAAATACCAATATACTACATACGCTTGAGCACATCTCCACACCATTCAACTACAAGAGTTGTGAAACCATAAAGTTGTTTAAACTATGTCAAGAAATACACATATAGAATCCCCAACTGTGATAAGAACACTGAAGGAAATGTTAAGGGTATTATTTCTAAAATAACGTATTAATTGTAATAGGGAGAGAAAATGCTCTTAAGAGATGGGAAGGTAAACACTGACTTCCTAATCATTAAAGCAACAGAAAGCTGTTTCAAACATAAAACAATTAAACGAGATAATTAAAAATAAACATACCCATCTTTGGTCTGATCCACCACACCACTTAAAAGTTCCACAGTCTTTGGATTAGGCTGGCTTCCTCCAAAAATATTCAAATATCGAATGACGAAGTCATTGGGAGACATGAAAAATTCACCATTTTTTTCAATGTTTGCATACTGTTTAAAAAAAGAGAGAAAATATATTTTGTTCTCAAAAGTATATAACCAATATGTGAAAAAGCGGAGAATATTCAATGGATAAAATATCAGACATGACAATACACTCTTCACAAGAACAGTTATTTCCCATCGCTCCAAATAAAAAGCAAAACCCCATTAAGTTTGCCGAGTTTTATTTTTATACCAGCGGTTCTCAACTGCAGGCAGCTTAGCCTGACTGTCCAGCTTACAAACACCAATGTCCCCAATAGCCAAGCACAATGCACAAGGACTAGCCTTCTCTGTACGTTACCTGACTTTCTTGGGTGGAGTTCTCTAGCTCTGAGCTGCCTCTGTTTTCATGTTTCCTTACAGGGGACATCTGGCAGTGTCTGCTGACAATTTTGATTGTCATAACTTGGGGGGAGGGGCAGAAGCAGAAACTGGCATCTACTTGGTACAGGCCAGGGATGCTGCTAAATATCCACAGTGAACAGGACGACCCTCCACCCCAATAACAGAGTCACCCAGCCAACTGTTGACAGCGCTGAGTTTGAGAAACCCAGGTTTACAGAAATTTAGAAGGACAAATTTTGTCTTGTTCTTTAGCAAGAACATATAGTTTTGTTTTTTTTTAAAAAAAGCAGAATTCTGAAATCATGAATGAAAACAACCCAATTCTTTTTCCCCCTTTCCTGTTTCAAAGGCAATAACGTTGAAAAAAAAAAAAAAGGATAAGCTGGAGAGCAAACTGTTAACAGCATGGCTGCTGTGAGATTTTATGAAAGCAGGTAAGAAATGCTGCTGTGGTTAGTGTCCTCTCCATTCTAGAGCAGAAATGGTTAACAAGAATAAGGTGGTGGGATTTCCCTGGTGGCCCAGTGGATAAGACTCCACACTTCCACTGCAGGGGGCACAGGTTCAATCCCTGGTCAGGGAAGTTCCACGTGCCGCACAGTGTGGCCAAAAAAAAAAGAGAATAAGGTGGCATGTGATGCTTTTTCACAGCATTCCCACAGGTCTTGCCTGCAAGACGTTCCAGTTCACATAAGTGGAAACTGCTCATTTCTGTTCTGTGGAGGACCGGGGGCTGTGGGAAATGCTGAGAAACAACATGGGCATCACACATATCCCTGTGGAGCAGGGGAGGGCCTCTTGATCCTTGGGATCAAACAGTGATTTGGGGGGTAGAGAGATGAGGACCATGAATTACAAGAAGAGAGCTAGTTGGGTGACAGCAGCCAGTGATGGGAGAGCACAGTGAACAGAGGTGCAATGATAGCATCTCTGTTCCCTCTGTAACGGCAGTTAATCCCAGTTAAAACTGTTTTAAAAAGTCACTTGTTGGGGCTTCCTTGGTGGTGCAGTGGTTAAGAATCCGCCTGCCAATGCAGGGGACGGGAGTTCGATCCCTGGTCCGGGAAGACCCCACATGCCGCGGAGCAACTAAGCCCATGTGCCACAGCTACTGAGCCTGTGCTCTAGAGCCCGAGAGCCACAACTACTGAAGCCCACACACCTAGAGCCCATGCTCCACAAGAAGAGAAGCCACCGCAATGAGAAGCCCGCGTTCCACAACTAGAGAAAACCCACACACAGCAACGAAGAACCAATGCAGTCAAAAATAAATAAAAAGAAATTAATTAAAAAAACGTCACTTGTCATTTCTACATTTCAGTCATTCCAATGTGGGATAAGCTCTTGGTTAGATACTCAGTTACGGGCTTTAGAGTCCGTCGGGCCTGGGCTGCAGAGAGCTCTGCCTCTGCCTCTAACCACCTGTAGGGCCTCAGGTAAGTAACTAAAGTTTTCTGGGCCTCTGGCTCCTCACCTGTAAAATGGGGATAACAACACTACCTGCTCTTAAGGTTGATACTAGAAATAAATGAACAATCATGTAACGCACTTAGCACAATGCCCTACACACAACAGGTATTTTATAAATGTTCTAGATTATTGGTTTTCGTTTAACATTTTTTAGCACAGTACAAAAGAAAAGCTCAAAGATGGCCCACTAATCCTACTATTCTTCAGTTAGCAATGAATTTGGCTTTATGCAAACGTAGAAGGATTATACTTTGATTTTCCTGAGGCAAAACAAGACTGAAATATAAAGGAAATGTTACTTCTAATTACAGCAATCCTATGATTTAGAATTATACCTATGTTCGCATATAGTAGTGAATAATTTATTTATTTAAAAACACAGTTTAACTCTTTTCCCATCAGTAGACATTATTAGATTACTGGATTATCTCCAGTTTGGGGTATTTTTTTAAAAAGCTAAGGTAACCAGCTTTGTATGTAACATTTGTCCAAATTCCTGGCAAATTTCAAAGGCTAGACTCCGGGAAGAGAAATTGTTGAGTCAAAGGAGAGCATCTTTAAGGCTCTTGATACTTATTAACACACTGCTCTCCAGAAAGATTGTATCAATTACAGTCTCACCAACAATGTGAGAACATAGCCTTTTCCCCCTTTGTCTATCATACTTGTTGTAAATATTTTTCCAGTTTAATATTTTTATATAATTGAGGCTGTAGATTTTTATCTCCTTTGCAATTTCTTCCATTACTTCTAAGTTTAGAAACTAGTTCTTCCTCATCTCAAGACTAAATATTCACCCACGTTTTCTCTTAGCTTTTCTTGAATAGGTTTATCTTTTACCTTTAAGTTTCAGTACATTATTGGTACTTTGTTTTTCTTTATGGTCTGAAAAAGGATCCTCCACCTTGAGTCTTTTCTACTTACTCTCTTGGTTGTCCTAGGATCATACATCAAATCATTCTCTCTTCCCCCATTTAGGATGTAATGTTTACCACATACTAAATTATCATATGGGAAAGGCTTGGCAAGCAAGTCCATCTTCAGTACCACTTCTGATCAGTTGTCAATGGCTTCCTAAGGTCAAGATGTATTCTGACCAAACTCCATGGGAGAATGCCAGGATGGGCTGACAGCTCCTGTCATCACTGCAGCAGGAAATGTTTCAGGTCTATCCTAGGCATTGACCTGTCTACTCTTGCAAGATTACATGCATCTTAATTGCTATAACTAAAGGGAAAGCTCTGCCAGGACAGGACTTTTTTCCTTTCTCACTGCTATATCCTCAAGTTCCAGACTGTTGCCTGGCAGATAGTGAAACATGTTCAATAAATATCTGCCGAATGAATGTGAACTTACAAAACAGAAATAGAGTCATGGATGTAGAAAACAAACTTATGATTACCAAGGGGGGAACGGGGGCAGGGATAAATTGGGAGACTGGGATTGACATATACACACTACTATATATAAAACAGATAACTAATAAGGACCTACTGTATAGCACAGGGAACTCTACTCAGTACTCTGTAATGACCCACATGGGAAAAGAATCTAAAAGAAGAGTGGATACATGTATATGTATAACTGATTCACTTTGCTGTACACCTGCAACTAACACAACATTGTAAATCAACTATACTCCAATAAGAATAAAACAAAACATTGCATTACTTTTCTCCTGCAAGTCTTATTGGCCATAATCACTCTGATTTTCCCCAAATGATCTTTAGAATCACTGTCAAGCTACCGACCCCTAAAAAAATTCCACCAAAAATGGAAATTAAAACTACAATGCGATACACCACTACTCATACACAAGATAATTAAAAAGAAATAACCAATGTTTGCAAAATGTGAAGCAAATGTAACTGGTGAAGTACTTTAGAAAACTGCTTGGCAATATCTACTATAACTGAACATACACGTAAGAAGAGACCCAGCAATTTCACACCAAAAAACAAAAGCAAAAAAACCCATGCTTTAGCATTTTAATGTCCACAGCAATATTATTTTGATAAGTATGTTGTCATTTTGTTACTTGTTTTCTGGTTGTTTTGTATTATAGTTGTTCTCTGTTCTTTTCTTCTTTTAGTCTTGTCCCTTGCTGTTTGATGATTTTCTTTAGTGATATATTTGTGTTCCCTTCTCTCTAGCTTTTGTGTATCTACTGTAGGTTTTTTGATTTGTGGTTACCATGGAGTTCATATATGTTGACCTATAACTATATCTACTTGTTTTCAACTGATTAAGTCATATAAGTTCAAACACATTCTAAAAGATCTACATTTTCTATTCCTCCCTGCCATTTTGTTTTTGAGGTCATATCTTACATCTTCATGTCTGTCTCTTAACTGTTTATTGTAGTTTAGTTAATTTTACAATTTTTGGCTTCTAGCCTTTTATACTAGCTTATTTAAGTGGCTGATCTACAGCCTTTACCAGTGGGATTTTTCCCTTCCTATAATTTCTTATTGGAGCTTTTTCTTTTTCACTTAAAGGAGACCCTTTAATGCTTCTTGTAAGGTCAGTTTAGTATTGATGAACTCTTTTAGATTTTGATTGCCTGAGCAGCTCTTTATTTCTCCTTCAATTTTGAATGATAATCTTGCTGGGTAGAGTATCCCAGGTTGTAAGTTCTTCCCTTTTGGCACTTTAAATATATCATGCCACTCCCTTCTGGCCTGCAAAGTTTCTGCCGAAAAATCAGCTGACAGCCTTATGGCGGTTCCCTTGAATGTGACTTTTTCTTTTGCTGCGTTTAAAATTCTCTACCTTTACCTTTTGCCATTTTAAGTGTATGTCTTGGTGTGGGTCTCTTTGGGTTCATCTTGTCTGGAACCCTCTGTGCTTCCTGTACCTGGATATCTGGGAAGTTTTTAGCCGTAATTTCATCAAATACCCTTTCTACTCCTTTCTCTTTTCTCCTTCTGGGACCCCTAAAAGGCAAACGTTAGTATACCTGATGTTGTCCCAGAAGTTCCTTAAACTATAAATTGGGCAATTTCCATTACTCTATCTTCCAGATCACTTATATCACCTCATCTCTTGTTAATTCCCTCTAGTGTTTTTTTTTTTTCATTTCAGTTATTATATTCTCCAGTGCTGGCTGGTTCTTTTTTTATATTTTCTAGTTCTTTATTAAAATTCTCACTGTGTTCATCTATTATTTTCCCCAGTTAAGATTCTTAGTA